GTGAAAAAAATTAGTTAAACATAATTTGCCTTTCACAAAACCATCTTTCTGATTACATCAATTTTTTATGAGTCCCTAGTAATACACTCATTAATAGTAGATTCTGACACCTCTCCAACTACAGACATTCAGCTAGCAGGCCTGTAGTTGCCCATGTTTTGCCTCTATCCCTTCTACAATGCACGGGTTATATTTGGTACTTCCTAGCCTGACGGAACCTTTCCTGAATTGAGTGCATTTTAGAAAATTATCATTGCATCTACTATCTCATTAGTCATCTCATTAAAGAACCTAGGGTGACATCCATCCAAACTAGGGTACTTGTCAGCCTACAGCTCTATCATTTTGTTTTCAAATTCATTTATGGGACGTAGGTGCCATTGGCGGGATCAGAATTTATTACTTGTCCCCTAGTTGCCCTTGAGAAGGTGGTGACGAGCTGCCTTTTTGCACCACTGCAGTCCTTGTGCTGTAAGTAGACTCACAATACTGTTAGGGAGGGCATTCCAGGCTTTTGACCTGGCGGCAGTGAAGGAATGGGGATATATTTCTAAGTCAGGATGGTGAGTGACTTCGAGGGGAACTTGCAGGTATATCTGCTCTTTGTCCTTCCAGATGCAGTGGTTGTGGGTTTTGAAGGTGCTGTCTAAGAAGTCTTGGTGAATTTCCGCTGTGCACCTTGTAGATAGTAGCAGCAGTGTGTACTAAGTGTCAGTGGTGGAGGGAGTGGATCTTTGTGGACGTAGTGCCAATTAAGTGGACTGCTCTGTCCTGGATTGTGTAAATAAACCCCAAACCCACTTCCATCCCCCCACAATCCATTAGGAAGGGACTTCCAGGATTTTGACCCAGCGAATGAAGAAAATCAGATGTTTCCCTTTGTGGGTCAATCGAGGATGACAGGCCATAGTTTTAGGCTAAAAGGTAGCAGATTTAAAACAGAGTTTAGGGGTAATTACTTTACTCAGACAGTCATAAATTTGTGGAATTAATTATCCCAGAGCGTGGTGGATGCTGGAACACCGAAGAAATTTGGGGAGACGGACAGATTTTTAATTAGTAATGGGTAAAAGAGTTATGAAGAGTAAGCAGGAAAGTGGAGTTGAGGCCAAGATGTGATCAACCATGATAGTATCAAATAGTAGAGCAGCCTCGAAGTGCTGAATTACCTAGTCCTGCTCCTAGTTCATACTGTCATCTGACAGCCACATCTCTGGAATGGCTAACAGACCGTATTATTTTCCTCAGCATGCACTTCTTTACCTTGTTTTGACCGTTACATACATTCAGATACAGAACTTTTAGAGATTTTCTTTTTGTAATATCTAATCTTGACTACTAATGTATTCTTAAGGTTTTCTCTTCCTGTCACTTCTTGCCATTCTTTGACCTTCATTTTCCATTATTATTTTACTGTCCTGCCTCAAATCTATCACTTGATCTGTTACATCCGCCCAAGCTTGATTTTGTTCCTCACCCACGCACCTTTGTTTCAGTTAAAGCCCTCTCCACTTCTCAAGTTATATATCTCTCTAGCACAGTGGACACAGGATGGCTGAGGTGTAAATGATTCCACTTTACCCAGTACTGCTACCGGTACCACACAAACAGAAACATCATTTACCTTATTTCAAACTTAGAACCCTTTATTCCTTTTTCTCACCTTAATTGACTTATGCTAACTTTCACATTGCTCAGGTCGTAATCCAGATTTATTACTTTTGAGGTTATGCTTTCCTTTAAGATCAATTAGATGCCTAACTGACTCTCCAAGTACAATGCAGAAATTTTAAATGGAGGATAATGAGACACTTAAAATCTGATGGATCTACAGAGTGCACTTTATGCTCATTTTATGATATTGCTAGCAAACTTTCATACCCAAACTTTACAGAGCACTGTAACGCCACACATTCACTTTCCTGAAGACTGCTCCACAGCAATTCAACACTAGGAACAGCATAATTGCTTCAAGGAAAGACTTACAATAGCTAGATGGACTGGATAACAATTATTTCTGTTCTGAAGAAGGATCTGAAATGTTAACTCCAATTTCTCTCCACAGATGCTGCCAGGCCTGAGTTTTTCCAGCAATTTCTGTTTTTGTTTGAGTGGACAACAGCTATGTTATCCCAAAAGTATCATCAGAGGCCACCGCTGGGACTACAAGCGATCACTGAAAGTTAGCAACACAGACTGGCAGAATGCAGGTCTCTATAAGGTGGGAGCTCAGAGAGGACACCAAAGGGAAGGGGAGGGAGGCAGATTCAAGATGACAGGGTGGAGTTAAGGTGGGCACCTCCTATGATCTACAGGCCCTAAAAGCCACACACCCCTCCATCAACAAACACAGCCAGACGCAACAGGGTTCTTTGATATAACAAGGTGTAGAGCTGGATGAAC